ACAACAAACGCGTGCACGGACTACAAGAACACCTTGGGCATTCAGGATCTGCGTGCGCTTGCATCTCGAATCTTTGTAAGTGGGGTTCTCCACAGAACGACAGCGGCTCCTACAAGTTCGGATACAAGAGTTCAGGAAACTCCCCAGGCAGCATTGCACAAGCGTCCTGCGGAATAACGATGGCAGGCGGACACAAACATATGCGTTTGTGACTTGTCACTTTCAATTTGCAGCCGACGTTCCCCCATGCCAGTACTGTGAAGGTCACTTTGGCTTCCCTACCTTTTGGAGTTGATTTCTTGCCCTCTTTTTGTGTCTCCAAATCCACACACCTTACCACCCACACACTTCCACACTTGAACAGCCAGCAGAACCCATCCGACATACACACAAACGCACACCACCCACAAAAAGCCACTTTGCACCCACATAATGACACACACCACACACTCCATAACACATACAACTTTGCCAAAACGCCGAAAAACCACAACACACCCATTTACATGAAAAACAAGGTAAACACACACAGACACCACTGCAAGGTTACTGTTTTTTCAATTTGGTGTTACTTCTGAGACTCCATGCGTTACCACCCTTTACCCACACACTGAAACTTTCCTGCACACTGAAGCCAAAAAGACATGCACCCGCAACCAACATTTACCACAAATGCTTACACACACACACATCTACAACACTCTTGCACATGCACACTCAGAAAACCGAAACCACAAAATGCATATTCTTATGATCTCTTAAGTTCCGATTGCAATTTTTTTCACTGTCTTTCTGGTCAATCGACAGATTACCAGGCTGACAGCACTTACCAAAGCACTTGCTGAACGATCTGTTTGTGTTTTTTGGTTCAGGTTTCTTGAAACTCTCTCTTTCTGAAGCTTGCAATTTCACCGAGAGATCATTTCGACAAAAAAACAAAGAAAACATTAAGCAAAAAGAAAAATTCTGTTCAGACGAGCAAAGGCAATTTGAACTGAAAAAAAAACAAAAAGTGTTGCTGTGCATAAATCTGCTGCTAAATCTGAAGAAAGTTGTCTAAGTTTTATGACTCTGGCTTCTTTCCAGTGTTTTCTCGATTTCTCCATAGTTTAAAAAGAAAAACCAATGTTTTTGCAGTTTTTGCCAACATTGAAAAAAACAATCACACTAACCTCTTCTCATTCATGGCCAGAACGACTTGAGAGTCGCCCAGCCTCGATTTCCATTCCATTCGAATTTTTTGACAAAGCTTCGATTTGCGTTCTTGTCTTTGATTTTCCAAAATGGCCAAATAGAAATTTAAGGCACACTGAAATTTGACAGATTGAGCAGAAGAAACTCTGCTTTCTTTCAGGCTGGGGCGGCTGGGTGCCCTTAATTCTTTGTTTTTCGTTTGGTTGCGTGTTGCAATTCTTCCCTGGATTTTCAAAATTTCTAAAGTCTCCAAAAATGTTGAAAAAACCCTCAAAATCAACACTTGATCAGTTAAATTTGCTGAATTTACTGTGGTGTCTCGCTCGCTTCGCTCGCACTTATTCACATTCTGGTAATACACTTTGCAATTTTCGAGTGGTTTGGCTTGGGCGTCGCGCGCAACCTTAACGAATCAACACCACGGTTGAACTCGTCTCGTCCTGCAGTTGATTTCTGTCCAAATGGCACTGTCAGAGGCTTTTAAAAACACTTGTTTCAAAGCATTGAACTTTTCCAAGCTGCAGTTTCCACCGATGTTGACTCTGCACCCTTCTTTTCTCCTCTTCTGCCTTCAGGCCTTGCACCAAAACCTGGAGAATCTGAAACCCAAGATGAGGGGCAGCAAAATTGATCGAAAAGGTAGGGAAGCTCCAGTGACCTCCACAGTTAGAGAAAGTTCCGGTGCCAAACAAGTTTACACTTTGCCGCCTTGCTGCCTGCTGTTCTAATTTTGGGGGAAGACTGACACAAGACTTAGACTGGAACCGACTAAGAGGCTTTTTTTGTTAAGCCAGATCTGGCTTCCCGTGTGTGAAAAAAACGCCGCAACTGGGCCCAAAAATGGCTCCAAAACTTGGGTTCCAATTTAAGGCTCCAACCTGGGTGGCCTTGTATGTTCACACAGGAAATCCAAAATCTAGGGCGCGTTTTCGGTGCCCAGAATTGAGCTGCCTTTGGAACCCATTTGAGTTCAATAATTATTGAAATCAACTTACAGACAAACAAGATTTTTTCTATTTGATACTGTTTGCATTAACACTCAAGAAAACAAAAGACGCCGTCGATACGCGTGTTCTTGGCTTTGTTAACTTGTCTTTAGCTGGCATTCAAGACAAAGTACTCTTGCATTGTTCGCGTGTGATCTTTTTTGCACTGTGAAGGTCACTTTGGCTTCCCTACCTTTTGGAGTTGATTTCTTGCCCTCTTTTTGTGTCTCCAAATCCACACACCTTACCACCCACACACTTCCACTTGAACAGCCAGCAGAACCCATCCGACATACACACAAACGCACACCACCCACAAAAAGCCACTTTGCACCCACATAATGACACACACCACACACTCCATAACACATACAACTTTGCCAAAACGCCGAAAAACCACAACACACCCATTTACATGAAAAACAAGGTAAACACACACAGACACCACTGCAAGGTTACTGTTCTTTCAATTTGGTGTTACTTCTGAGACTCCATGCGTTACCACCCTTTACCCACACACTGAAACTTTCCTGCACACTGAAGCCAAAAAGACATGCACCCGCAACCAACATTTACCACAAATGCTTACACACACACACACACATCTACAACACTCTTGCACATGCACACTCAGAAAACCGAAACCACAAAATGCATATTCTTATGATCTCTTAAGTTCCGATTGCAATTTTTTTCACTGTCTTTCTGGTCAATCGACAGATTACCAGGCTGACAGCACTTACCAAAGCACTTGCTGAACGATCTGTTTGTGTTTTTTGGTTCAGGGTTCTTGAAACTCTCTCTTTCTGAAGCTTGCAATTTCACCGAGAGATCATTTCGACAAAAAAACAAAGAAAACATTAAGCAAAAAGAAAAATTCTGTTCAGACGAGCAAAGGCAATTTGAACTGAAAAAAAACAAAAAGTGTTGCTGTGCATAAATCTGCTGCTAAATCTGAAGAAAGTTGTCTAAGTTTTATGACTCTGGCTTCTTTCCAGTGTTTTCTCGATTTCTCCAAAGTTTAAAAAGAAAAACCAATGTTTTTGCAGTTTTTGCCAACATTGAAAAAAACAATCACACTAACTGTGAAAAGCAGAGCTCGCGCAGCAGTCTCTTTTTCACTTCGCACTTGAGCCAAACACCAAAGTGTTCAGCAAGCTTCAGTTCTTGCAGCAAGCTCTCTCCAAGAGCTAAGGGCTCCAAAAAGCTACGAATTCCATCTCAACTTTGTTCTACAAAGGAGGTAAAGCAAAAGAGCAATGCAACTGCTTTGGTCTACACCTCGGGGACTTCAGGTCACTTCCGAACAGCAAAACAGCGAAGCTTCAGAGTCCACTCTGCACTCCTACTCCCATCCTACACGTCCAACGGCAACGAACGAAGTGGCGGGGACACGGAGTGAGTTGCAACAAGACAGAACCTCAGAGTTCTGACACGCACTTCTTCACTACTGCTCTCAAGCAGTTCCAAGTGCTTCAAAACTCATCCTAGGCCATGCCAACAAGACAAGAACATGCCAAAGTCAAGCAAGACATGCCACACATGCTTAAGGGCTTTGGGACAAACCAAACATGCTCACGCCAAGTCATGCAGCAGAAAAACTCTCATGCTTCTCTCTGTATGGTCAAACACCACATGGCACCAACTGGGCAAACACTACAGGTGAATTTTACTTCAGCAAGCGCGAGAGCGTTACCCAGTGGGTGTCCTGCATGCAAAACGAATTCGCCCGGAGCCCCTTTGGGGCGAGACACAGTCTCTCGGGCAGTCGGTCACCCTGCTACGGCAAAAACCACAGCTTACAAGCTGGGAATGTGGTGCACCCACAGGCCATCTACAGGGAACTATGTTACAGCTACTCATCAGGAAGAGGTTGCGACCGCAGCCCTAAGGCTGGGAAAGGATGCCCCCAGAGAAGCAGCCCAGATTCCACAGCCTCCTAGGCCGGGGTAGTGCATAGCCAGCGAACTTCTTCCCCCAAAGGTCCAAGGGTGTTGCAGATCTGGTCAAAACACGCTTGAGGTGGACCCCTGGAAACTTGCCGAAAGTAGCCCACATCATTTGGGCAGTATTTGGCAACTACCCTCCAAAAGCCAGTCCATTCCGGCCTCCCTTGGGAGGGGCCCCAGTTGTTGGCATCGATGAAGGCCGGAAGGGGAACCACCCTCGTGCCCAGCGGCCTGTGGCTCAGGTTTGAAATGCCCACATCCTTGGCATCAACCCCACAGGCATACAAGTGCAACAAGGTGGCCAACGTGGCCAGGAGGTAGGAGTGAACACGGAGACCATTGGCAGGTGAATTTTACTTCAGCAAGCCCGAGAGCGTCACCCAGCGGGTGTCCTGCATGCAAAACGAATTCGCCCGGAGCCCCTTTGGGGCGAGACACAGTCTCTCGGGCAGTCGGTCACCCTGCTACGGCAAAAACCACAGCTTACAAGCTGGGAATGTGGTGCACCCACAGGCCATCTACAGGGAACTATGTTACAGCTACTCATCAGGAAGAGGTTGCGACCGCAGCCCTAAGGCTGGGAAAGGATGCCCCCAGAGAAGCAGCCCAGATTCCACAGCCTCCTAGGCCGGGGTAGTGCATAGCCAGCGAACTTCTTCCCCCAAAGGTCCAAGGGTGTTGCAGATCTGGTCAAAACACGCTTGAGGTGGACCCCTGGAAACTTGCCGAAAGTAGCCCACATCATTTGGGCAGTATTTGGCAACTACCCTCCAAAAGCCAGTCCATTCCGGCCTCCCTTGGGAGGGGCCCCAGTTGTTGGCATATCATGAAGGCGGAAGGGGAACCACCCTCGTGCCCAGCGGCCTGTGGCTCAGGTTTGACATGCCCACATCCTTGGCATCAACCCGAACAAGGTGGCCAACGTGGCCAGGAGGTAGGAGTGAACACGGAGACCATTGGCAGCATTTTCCTGGAGCCACTCACAGGCCTGGCAGCGATGCTCTTGCACGTGGTACAGGAAACGATGCAGGCCCGCACCTGGCTCTCCTTCAGGCCCGAGTCCAATCCACATGGAGCCACTGGTAAGGATGGGAGCCATGAGCCGGGGAAAACGCCGCGCCATATCAATCTCCGGACCGTTTAAGGATGCATCATCCGTGAGCTTCAAGACCAACGCCTGAGACAGCTGGTAGCCTACACGGCTTTGTCCCCAGCCCAGGCGCGTGAGAACTCGGGCTTCCACCACGACCTGGCGAATCGGGTCCCACGTAAGTGTGAGATCTGGAGGGAGGAAGTGCCGAGGCGAGGTGGGCCGCTTGATGTAGCTTGCTGCTTCACCAGCCGCGCGCACACCCGGGGTAAAGTCCTGAGCTTCTCTACGCATGCGTTGCCGCCGGCCCCAGGGGGACTCCTCAGCCTCAGGGGCCGGGTCTGCAGGGGGCCGGGCCCTGGACTCCGAGGGGGATCTAGGCCGTGCATGCTGGTTGGGAAGGTCACGGCTGGACGTAGCCCTTTCTGACCCCTCCCAGGTGGAGGGGAACGGGTTGAATCACGCGGAACCGAACGCAAATCCACACCGGACCCTGCTACCTGAGGCCGCCTCCTTCGCGGAGGGGTGGGAGGGGTAGGGCTTCTGTCCACTGAGCGCAGGACCAAACGAGGAGAAGGAGAGCGCCGCCGAGGAGCCGGAGGGGGGGGAGGCGGCCAAGCCTTCGCCGCCGGTTGGGCCGACGAGCTGGAACCTTTAGGTGCCGCCTCCTCAGGGAGGGGTGCCCCTTCCTGCTGGTCGTCTCCGACAGGAAGGCCCTGGTCTATGCGTTGTTGCCTGCGGATGTGGGGTGGAGGTCGTCGCTTGGAATGCTGGAGGGTCGCCGTAGAGCGCCACGACTTCCCCTCTGCCATTCGTTGGCGCTGCTCGCGCCAGAAGGGGCCACGACCCCTGCCCTGCGAGCCCCCCATCACTGCTTCTTGAAGCAAAGGGTCTGCTGACCAGAGGGAAGCTCTTTCTTCTTTTTGCCACGGCTGGCCGGCTTCGGGGCAGGCTCCCTTGCAAGCCCGGCTACGCGTGCACTTGCCCCAGGAAGGGAAACCACTTCCTTTGTTTTGCCAGACCCCACCTCAGACACGTGCGACTCTGCAGCCTTAGGAAGGGAAGCCGCTTCCTTCAGAGTTGAAGAAGAACCTGGAGAGTCCGGCCGCCCAGGAGGCGTGGAAACCGAGGCCTGGGCATGAAAGGACAGGGTTTGGTTGTTGTGAAGTTTTTTACAGGGTTTCTGGAGACCTAAACAAGGCTGAGAGTGGCCTGGAAGGAGGGTAAGATGGCACCCGGAGCACAGCCATCTACGTCCCTCATTTTTGAGCCGGTGCGTCGGGTGAAGGGTAGGCCAGAACTGGGGGCCATTGTGGGGCATGTCAATGCACGGCTGAGCAAGCAAACGTTCTAGCCTATCCATCTCATGAACCTGCTGGAGGTAAAGCTTACACTTCACACAAGTGATTGACAGATTATTTGTTTTTAACCCCCCTACTTGCCAGACATGGCCACTAGGCCCTTTGGGTGGTTGGGGTTCCTGCCTTTGGCTTCGGGGGACAAAATCATCTTTTGAGGCATGTTTCAAAACAACCACAGCTCGCGACGCCAGGTAATCACAGATCCTGGTTACGAGCCTATCCAGGTCCTGGACTTTCCGCCCTGCTACAGGCGGTATGGTGGCAGCTCGTTTGCCTGCCAACTCGTCGGCGCACTGGTTGGCCTGGTGTCTCCAAAGCTGGGAAAAGCCAAACCTAATTTCGAACTCACGGCTAGTTAGGTGGGATTTTACCCAAGTGGGCCTTATCCTACCACGGTCCTCCCAGACCGGGCCCCAAAAAGCCGGGGTTGTTTTTTGAAAGGATTTTTTGGTGAGGGTCCTTAGGGCTGGTTTACAGTCCCCCGTGAGGTCAACCTGACCAAGGGTGTGTTTAATCGTCTGCACAATAGCATAAGATTCACCGTGCGCGACGCTTGTGCCGGGGGGGGTGAGGCCGGACATGGTCCCTAACTCCTGAAACAGACCATCTTGAACCCGCCCCACGACGACAGACCAGCTCACTCTTCGCAGTCGCGGATCCTTGGTGAACTTTCCCCCTGACGCGTCCGTAGCAACCACCAACCCGTCTGCTACTACCTGGGAGGACGTGAGAAACACGCCTGTCTTGACCACTTCTAGGTCCCCCGAGGGAGCGACTGGGAGGTATTTAAGGGGAAGCATACCCCGAAGCCACAGGCAGTCATCAGGGAAACGGCGCTTCTCCGCCAGAACGTACCCCGGTAACCGCATGCCACCAGGGAAGGAAGGGCACTCATACATGAGGTGACGCAGGGTGGCCCCGGGATCGCCACAAAACTTACAGATATCCTTGCCACCATTGCCATTATGAAGAATGGACCCTTGGAAAACAGCCCGATAGGCGTACCGGGTTGTTTTGGTGCGCACTGACTTGAGCAGGCGACGCGGGACCGTCCAATCGACCCCGCCCGCAGCACCCGCTGCCGACGAGGCCGATCCGATGCGACGAGACCTCTGGGTCTTGATGATGTCCGTGAGGAAAGACGAGGTTTGACAGACAACCGAAACCTCAGAGGGCTTGATTTCGAGAACACGCTCCTCAAAAACCCAGCGGGAAGGATCGTGGCCGTCGACCTGGAGGTCGCGGAGGTATTGACACATGGCAGAGATGGGTCCAGTGACCACGGGCCAACCGTGCTTCGCAGCCTCCAGCCGCTTCCAGACCACCCGCCAAGTGTCCTGTACTGCCTCCCATCCCATGCGGTTACATCTGGCCATCATCCTGAAAAGACTTTCCACGTGCTGGGTTACCACAATAAGGTAGGGATCCTGAACCTCATGGGCCGTCATATCTAGGATGGTATCCGTGGAACCATATCGGCTCCTGCCTGCGTGTCGGGCTACCGCTGCGCGCATGGTTTTCATATGTTTAGGGGCAACCCCTTGTGCTTCATGGCCATAAAGACCCGAGGTGACCACACTAGAACGGTGCAACCGTAGCCGGACGCGGCGTGCCGGGATACGAAGCTTGCCCAACTTCAGGTTACGAGGGGGTGAATTTTACACCACAAGCACGAGGCGGCCGTAGGCCTTTGGAGTCACATTGGCTCAGGTGAAACAGTCGGGGGGACACCTACCCTGTGGCCACAATGGCTCAGGTGAAACAGTCGGTGGAACACCTACCCTATGGTACACAAAGCAACTACTGCCGGCTCATCTGCAGGCTGGATCACCACGCCTTAGGCCTGGTAACACCACTGGCCGTCACAGCACCCTTCTAGCCTGGAGCACCAAGCTTAGGCCGGGTAACACATGCCATTGGCTCAGCATAGAGGTGCGTATGCAGTTCCACACGTCAACCCAGGCTGGCCCCAGGTGATATGGTCTGGAGAACCCAAGACCTGACTGACACAACAAGCTTGGGCCCAAGCCTATTGGTGAGCCAGTGCAGCAAGGTGAGCCCAATCAGAAAGTCGGCCGTTCATGAGGACCATTTGGATTTCCAAGTTTGCCTTGAGCGCATCAGGGAGAACCGCAATGATATCGTTGAGGCAAGGGACCACCGCCTGCCTGCGGAGATACGGCTCCAACGGCGTGACGTCACAGACACATCGAAGGGTCTCGATGAAGCTGCGCAAGCTATACTTGGGAAACCAACTTCCAGCATTGAGCCCTTCGAAGCGCCAATCCGCGAGATCGAAAAAGCACAACATGGGCTTCGCAGCACTGAGTCCTGGTTTAATGCCCAGGTTGGTTTTTGACACATCACGCAGAGCAAAATGACGGCTCAATTGCAAAAGGAGGGCGAAGGCATACAAGGACCACTGAGGGTGGATCTGGTTCCTAGAACCAAAATCCGTGAGGAGCTCGACTTTTTCCACCATCGACCAAGCCACCAAGTGGGACCTGAACTCCCATGGTCGCCCAGAGAGCAGCACCTGCAGTGTCGTTGATCCAGCCCCAATGATGGTGGCTGCCACCTTAGGAAGCAAAGCCGAAATCGCCACCTCGTCCCCAAACGCCTGCTTCGTCCCAACCTTCAAGACGTAGCCACCGCCAACATCATATCCGAACCTGGTTCTTCCATTGTGGATATACTCCGCAGTGCTGTCCCCCGTGTCATTGAACCACACGTGGATCAGGTCCTTGGGGAGGGCCTGGAAGACACCAGCATAGCCCAGATCGGATTTGAAAGCCACCAATCCTGGCTTGGTATTGCGAGCCCTCTCAGCAATAGCAAAGGCTGCGCCCGCTTCCTGATCCATACCATCAAAGTTCAACGGGGCGGGCAGCATAGGCGCAGCTGGCGGTGCTGGGGGAGGCTCCGGATGCACAATGGGATCAGGCACCATTGGCTCCTCCTCGCTTTCTTCAGAGCAGCTGTCCTGGTCTGGGGCACCCAAAACCGGACCAGCCCCAGGTGCATGGGGATTCTCCCGAAGGACAATTCCAGGAGCTTCATCCCTCTCAGCCTGGTTTGCCACCACGGCTGGGGGGCGGTGCACAGGATTGTGCTGCTCAAGCTGAGGATTTTCCCGAAGCACGACTCCAGGATTCCTCATCCCCTGAGCCTGGTTATCCACCAAGGGCTCAGGGGGTTGCACGTGTTGTGGCCCGGGCTCAGGGGCTTGCTCATCCTGTGGTTCCACCCTTCTCCGCCTAGGGGGCGGGGGGTTCACACCAGCAGGCGGCGCTCGCATCTTAGGAGCTGCACCTCTAAGCCGAGCTCTCTCACGCTTGCCCGGCCGGGCTTTTGAGTACGCCTTAGAGGCAGGGGACTTATGCTTCGGCGGCATACTTAGAAGGCAATCTTAGCTTGCTTGAGCCCAGACTGCTTCGATTTTGATTTGGGTTTCGGTTTCGGGAGCACGTTCCGGGCATGTGGTTCCTGACTGGCCGTAGGCTGGAAGAAAGACTTCACACTCCTAACACCAGTGTCAGTCACCTCCTTCGCCTTTTTGGAACTAGCCGTGGGGTGAATTTTACAGCGCTCGAGCTCGGACGGAGCAGCCCGTGGGCGGTCTTTGTCAGAAAACTACTCTCCCAGGGAGTCTCAAGTCCTTTTGACGAGTCTGCTACCTGTGTTACTGTACACTACACTACAGGCTGAGCTACTGGGAGAGGGCACCTCATCCCTATAGTGCAGTCAGTGGAGCTACTCTCAGAAGACCCTGAGATTAAGGTACATTGCTGGGGTGAAAACCACTCAGAACAAGCACTCGAAGGCACAGCGGGAGAGGTCTCCTCTTCCCAGCAAAGGAGGCGACTCTTGGGAGAGGCACCCTCATCCCTTCTGGGCCTGCAGTTTGAGTGAGCTGCTCATGATTTCATGACGGAGCAGATGCGTGTGGTAATTTTGACACTCCGGTAAGAGGAGATCAACCAAAACCTGCTTTTGGTTTTTGTTGTTCTTCCAGGTAGAGTGCAGCCATTGGGCTCTTGCTGGTGCAAACCTGCTGACCACTGCCCAGAAACCAGGAAGTACTGATTGCTTCTTGCCCCAGTACCACGACCCAGCATCGCACAGCTTGAGGTACGGATGGGCCGTCTGGCCCAGGGTCAAGGAAAGGTTTGACGCACCGAGGTCTTTGAGGTGAACTCCATGCCATTCAAGCCACATGAGAGCCACCAAAGTGTAAACCAGCCATTGCCAAGCTCCAGAAGAGTTTACCCCTTGCATCTCTAGCCAGGGCACTGCAAGCTCGACTTTCTCCTGGATCTCACCTTGCAGGACTGTTTCTTCCCCGCAGGGGGGAGGCTTGCCAGTGAACGCAACACGGACAGGCCCTGCCCAGAGCACACGGGCCGTAAGCCCTGGGAACCACCTGCAGAACTCCGCCTCATCACCATGCTCCCCTATCTTGAGGACATGCTCGCCCAGGTCAAAGGCAATACGATGCTGCCCAGGTTTGCCAGCACGCTGCACAGTTGTTTCCTGCCACTGCTTGAGAAGGGGGTGGCGAAGGAGAAGAACTTCTTTGTGCAAGTAGTACTCAGGCCTGAAGGGCGCCTTGATGTTTGGGATAGAGGCTGAAACAAGGTGCACAGGGGCATGCTCTAGCATGACCTGCTGCACCCCCTTAAGGAAAACTCTGCGGTCCCATGGTGTGAGCTCCGAGTCCAGGATTTCCACGCTTGAGGAATCTGAGGAGAGCTCGGACTTGACGCTCTTGGGAGAGGTAACCTCATCTATTGGAACTCTCAGCAGGTTGACTCGGGCGGGTCTCCCAATCCCGGTCCTCTGAGCTGCTACTGCTGGGTTCCTGAGGAAGGGCCTCCCACTCCTCTTTTGCCTGCGCTTGTCCCAAAGAAGGCGCGGATGCCTCCTTTCTCCGCCGGCTTGGAGGAGGAGGCGGTGGCTGACGAGGACTTTGAGCGGGCTTTGCTTTGACCCGCGCTGTCCGCTTTGTGAGCTCCCTTTCGGCCTTGTTGGGCCTGTCGCGGTTGCGCACCGCTGTTGATCGGGACGTTCGTGACTGCCAGTTGTCCCACCGCTTCGCGTCCAGTTCCTGCCATCGCTCCTCCTGCTGGGGGTCGTTCCGGTGCACTGAGCGACCGTACCCCTTGCCTTTTCCCTGCCCCCCCATGGTGAGGTACTGCTGAGAAGAACGGCTGCCGGTTTGGTTGAGGTAAACGGGAAGCATACTTACTGACCTTGCTGGGGACGTACTTACAGGGTTCTTGGAACTTACGGGAAGTACTCGCAGCTCCTGACTTTTGAACAGCATGACAAGCCTTGCATAACCAAACATTGCCTAGGTTGTGGGGCCGATGTGAGGCATGGCAAATCCACTCCGAGGGCCAGGGACTCGGCTGATGCTCGCAAGCCTGGGACTCCAGGCGACGAAACTTGTCAAGGTCATGACACTGTTCAATGTAAAGCGAACAAATACTGCAGACAATAGAGGCATTCGTATGGTGCTTGGAACTCCATTTCCACACATGGCCTCCTTGGGGTGAATCCACCATATTTTGGAGTCGCTGCTTTTTATTGAGCCCCCCATCTGCAGCAGGTCTGTTTTGTTGCTGGGCTTTTTTGGTCTTAGGATGGGTTCTTCCCACTCCTTTGGTGGCCTTTTTCGCAAACCTGGTCACTTCGGCTAGAGGGGGTCTGTCCTCAGAAGTGAGAAGGGTCCAGGCCCTATCGGCAAGGAACAAGTTAACTTCTCTAGTCAAGGAATCAAGGCTGGAGACAAAACGGGCATGACTGTGGCTGAAAACCCTGGCAGACTTTTCACCGCACACCCTGTCCGCTGCTTGGTTGGCCTTTCTGCGCCACTCATTGGACTGACCAAATTTGTCGCCAAATGATTTTTCATCCAGGTGGGAATTGACCCAAAAACAGCTGACCCTTCTCCTATGCTCCCAACCCTCAGACAGACCCGGCCAGCACGACCTGTGAAAAGTAGGTTTTTGCAGGAGCTTGAAAATTCCCTTGCAATCCATGGTGTTGTCGCATGCACCTGGGAACCTGGTGAGAAGTTCGGAAACAGCGTGCGCTTCACCCTGAAAAACACTTGTTCCAGGAGCCAAAGTTCCCGAGAGATGACCTAGCTCTTCAATGCTCTGATCCTTAACCGTAAACGCCACCACAGCCCAGGATACAATGCGGAGCCTAGGGTCATTACCCTTTGGCCCCCCCGATGCATCTGTGGAAAAGAAAACCTCAGAAGTGATTTGGGATGGGTCAACCCAAATCCCTGTGGCTTCTATTGATTCCGGACCAAAAGGATAGGGCGGGTGCTGGGTGACTGCAGCAGGGACTAAGCCTCTATTCCAAAGGGAGGCCCAGGGGAAATCCTTGCGCTTGGAATCCCAAGATTTGCCAGGTTTCGGGAACCTATGTTGCCACCACTTACAGTCATGGAGAACATGTTCAAGACTGCCCGGGACATGACAAAGGGGGCAATGTGAGCGAGATCCTTTGCTTGAAGTAAGAACCGCCCCTTGCCAAACTGCTCTGAGGGCAGTAAGTTTGTTCGCTTGGCTGCGAAAGTCCTTACAAAGGGATCTCTGCACTGTCCAGTCAATACCAGCCTTCAGACTTTCACACGAGTCTTGTTTGGAAATCCTATCCCAACGACATGCTTTAATAGCCCCTTTTAGTGCATCCTCGACCTCATAAAGTTGAAAGGGGCCTCCTAAGCTAACTTTGGCTGGGCAACCCGAGCCAAAATATCCGCTTTTGGGAAAAATCCAGGTGGTGACATTTGACGCTTCTACGTTAAGGTCTTTGAGGTAAGCAATGAGGGCCGCAGTCGGGCCTGCCACCTTTTTCCATCTGTGTTGGCCCTGCAGCCCGGAACTGAGAACATCCCACGTGCGCACAAACCAAGGGAGATCGTTGCGGACAAGCTTGGACATGGCTCTCCAATGTTGGACAATGATGCCTTCCATGGGATCCTTGACATGCTCTTGAAGGTCCAGGGTGATGTCTACACTACCTAGCTTGTGCTTGTTGTTAAGAACCGCGGCCTGAAACCTCACCATCTTGAGGTTCTTTGGGGAGACTCCCTGACCCTGATGTCCCCAAAGGCCGCTGGTGAGAACACTGGCCGAGAAAAGCCTGGCGCGCTGTCTGGCCTGTGGTACCTGCAATCGATGCAGCCGCTGAAGCCTTTTGCCTCCCTTTTTGAATCGAGACATTGCGCCCTTAGTGGTTCTACGTCGCGCCCCCGCTGTGGTGATGCCTAAGTCCCGGCCTAAGGAACTCACCGGAGGGTCCGATTCTGCGCGGATGCGTTTAAGGCTTTGTTCCGCCTCTTTGGAAGAGGCCAGAAAGTATGTTTTGCTTGCCGACGGCGTGTGCCCGCGTTGTCTAAGCGCTGCGAAGAGTCGTTTGCTCAGTGCAAGGATGTTGCGGGCTGCCAGGCCTGGATTGAGCTCTTCAGCATCGACTGCAATGTCATCTATCCAGACACTGGTGTCTTTGGCGCTGGAGCCTGAGAGGGCCTCTTCGCAAGGGTCTGCAAGCGCTACTTTGGCCAGAATGGGCCCCAAAGGGCATCCCGCCTGTATGCCCTTTGACGCAAAAAGGACAGGGCTCACCCCTTCCTCACACTGGATGAGTCTGGGTCCTTTATAAGCCTGCAGAACAAAATTTAACAACGGCGCTGGAAAGTTCATTGCCAGCGCCTTTCTTATCAGGTCCTCATGGGGAACTCCTTCGTAAAATGTCGTTAAGTCAACAAAAAGAGTCACACGATGGCGGTTGTTGCAGCGACTGCCCTCAAAAGCCACCATCCTTTTGAGGCTGACATCTAAAGTACTTGTCCCCTTTTTTGCAGAATCCCACCAGAGCTGGCGGTCGACATCCTCCAACCATTGGGAGATCAAAGGCCATCGCATTTTCAAATAGGCCTTGAGCAGGCAATGCATCAAAGCTATGGGTCTTTCGATGGTCTCGTTTTTGGGCAAGAGGACCACCAAGCTGAATTGCATTTGGTGAGGAAGGGCAGCTTCCCTTTCCATCATGGTAAAAAGTTCCACTAGGCTATCACAATGTTGGGGCTCGAGCTTCTTTATGAAAGGGATGTCCCAACCATCAGGCCCTGGGGCTTTCACAGACATCTTCTTAAAGAAAGCAAAGAGTTGGCTTCCTTCCAACTGGGGGTATTGAGTGGCCTGTTGTTTGGCCAGCTCAACAAGCGCCGCAGGGGAACACGTGGGACTACCAGAAGCCGACCAAATCGGAACCCACTGGAGGACTCGGCACAGAATCCTGGCCCTTGCGTCAACTTCAGCATGAGGCCTGACCACGACTTGCTCATGGGACTTGAGTGCATTGAATAAGGGTTTCATACCCTTTTCAGTGCCTTTGGTGAGCCATTTCAAAAGTACGATTCTTTAGAAGCCTGGCGGCTAGATCGTTCCCAGTGGTGTTGCTGCTGCTGGGCTGCTTTGAGTGATGCACTGAGATCATTGACAGGAGTGGTCTCCACTTCCTTTCTCCAAGCACCGAAGCTATGCTCCTCATCTGCCCAAAAACCCTCAACAGAATGCAAGAGGCGCAAAGGAGGAACGGACCCGGCTTTGAGGCACTTTGCGACTCTACCCCACAAGCTGGCACCCTGCCCATGCCACTCTCTAGGTAGAGGGGGAGTGGTGTGAGGCTTCATGACGGTGGGGTTTGAGTACCCTCGCCCAGTGTTCGTTGCAAGAACCTCGTTTTCGGCTTCCAAAGAGAACTGCGCAAAAGCGGTTGTGAGATTATCTTGGCACAAGTCCAGGTCTCCTATGCGGGCCGGTTTGCAATTACGAGGGTTCATGTGGTCCGTACGGTACCCCGGTAAAGGCCGGCATACCGGGGCGGGAACGCAAGAGGGTCTTGGAGGCCCCCCGATAAGGAGGGCGCAACCGGGGCTACCGGGGCGGGGCTGATGGAACCAGATGGACCTCCAGAACCTACCTCCACAGATGCGCTGGGCACCGACGGGGCGGGTGTGCTCTTGAGCCGCCCCGGTAAGGAATGTGTTACCGGGGCGGGAAGGATGGAGTCAGGTAGACCTTGTCTGCCATGCACCGAGCCAGTAAACCCTCTCAGCTGAGGGAAGGGCAGCAAGCTCATCCCCACTTCAACAGATAGGTGAACTGCACAATGAGGCCTGAACGGAACATCCCAACGCTGCCAAGTGCTAACAAAAGGCCCCAAGGTCCGGGAAACCATGAAAAAATCAAGAACTGAACCGGTGTCGCAGGTTGGTTTCCTGCTGGAGACTATCACACCTTTAAAGGCCTTGGTGAGAGAGGTCTCCTCAATCTCATCCAAGTTAATGTTCCAGTCCCCCCCCGATTATCCAGTTCCTACATCCTTGGAGCTGGGCAGCCAACTGGGCCAAGATGTCGGAATTTGGGGATCTCTGGAGCCCCGTAGAGCACTGGAGATAAATGGAGACCACCCAAAGGGAACACTTAACTTTAGGCAACTCGACCATGACGAAGCCACACCCTTCTTGGTTGAAATGCTGGACCATTCTACCGTGCTCTTTGCGAGGCATGAGGATCGCGACTCCGCCTTTGGGGCGAGGGTTGGAAGGGCCACCTAATCCCCCAAAAGCGTGCAGACCAGCCTGAACCGCTGTTGCCCTGAAACTCTTTTGACCTTCTTCGTCAAGGTGAGTCTCTTGGACCAACAGGAGTGTATCCGGCTGTTGCATGTGCCATTGAAGGACCTCCTTTCTCCACGAAGTGACATTGGCAGTCACCAAATGCAGGCGCTCCTTGGATTGAGGGGCTCGCTCCTCTAATCCTGCCGACAGGGTGCACAGGGTGCGGGTATCCAAAACCGCCTCCGGGCCAGAGGCCCATGCGAGCCATTCTTTTGCAAGCATGTATTCGGCGGTGTTTGTGTGAAAATGGGTCTCAGCATGTTCAGCAAGAGAAAGAATGGTTTCCTCAACGACCTCCCGATTGCTACCCGACCCCAGTTGGGAAAGCAGAAGATGCAAAAGGCGAACGAAACTTGGAGTTTCTTCCGTCTCCCCTTGAAACCCTGCAGCACCCAAACCCCAAGGCCCCGAAGGATGTCGAAAGGCGCGCCTAACCGATAAAGGAGAGGCGACCTCATCCTGAGTGGGGTTTGGGGGTATGTGTGGACTGGGAGAGGAACCCTCATCCCTAGATTTGCTTCCACCCTCACTTGGACTTATGGTGTTGGTTTTTGACTTTCGCCCACGCCGTCTCCTGGTTCTTCGACTTTTGCACGCAGAGCCTACTAAACTGGCTGACACAAGATGCCTCCCCGATTGATTTCGGACCCGGGCAAAATCATACCGCGGGATGGGCTCCTTCACCAAACTGTCATCTTGAAGGACCTCAAGCTTAGGAAAAAACTTGGGGCCCGAAAGCAAAACCTGACCCCTAGGCAACCCACCTTTCATTCCAATGGCACGAAAACCTTTGTGGACAACCTGCCAGGAACAAAGCTGGGCATGGACGGGGAACTCACACAAAACAGCCCTAAACACACTGCACTCCAAACAGGCAGCCCTCGAAACCGGCTGACCTAAAACAAGCACAGTGTTCTCGGCAGGCTTGAAAAAATCATGGCAAAACTGGCACTGAGGAAAGCCCTCATGTTGGAAAATATCACTGCTTCCAGGCTGTAAAAGACCAGATTCTTGAGGCAGGGACAACCCACCCCAAACTCCTGGCCCTAATTCCCACCAGAACCCCGACCTGCTACCACTCCTGCATTTGCTGTGGTGCACCTGCAAGGCCTTGCTGGGACGGGAGACCCTGTCCCTGGGATGAGTCGCTCAATCCCGGTGGCAATCCTGCTGCCGCCAGGGCTTCCTGCGCAAACTTCCGCTTCTTTGCGCCATGCTCAGCCTGAAGCTCGTGCAATCGCTTGTTTTGCTCCTCACTGAGATCGACTCCCAAGGTCTTCATGACTTCTCGCAGGTCCAATTCCGGAACAGCTTGTTCTGTCGGTACCTGCAGAACCGTCTCATGGAAAGCCTTTGTGAGCTCTGATGATTTCTTCTCTGCCTCCACAAGCTCAGCAAGGAGGAGCTTCATGTCTTCGTACAAACCCGCCAGCGTGCTTTTCGTAGCATCGATCTTCGTCTGCAGCTGGATCTTGCGGTGTCCCAGCTCACGCAACTTGCTCGATGCTAGCTTGAGGTCGTTCGTTGCATTGGTAGCTTGCTCTTTAGCTGTCGGCTTCAGGCCTTCCTGTCGCTCATTCAACGCTGCTTTGACCTCCTCAGGAAGCCGGTCCTTGTGGTTCTCAAGCAGGGCAACCAAAGGATCCTCAGGAGAGGTAACCTCTTCCTTCTGCTTCTTCTGGAAGCCTGCCTTTTGAAGCGCCAGCTGCGCCTCCGACGGTATCTGCCCCCAGAGCTCATCTAGGGCCTTCAACACTTTCGACGGCGGCCTTGAGGCCTTCGGCTTCTTCTCAGGCTTCCAGGAAGCTGAGTCCCACACCGATGGCCATTGCTTCGCAGCTGGCCACTGCTTCCCACACTTGCACTTTGGAGTCTTCTGCACTCTGTCCGTCCAGATCCAGGACCTGCAACTTGAACAGACAGTATACTGGCGAGTCATGCCGGCACGGAAAGCCTTAAACTGCTGGAGTGGTCCCCACCCACCGGCAGAGAACAAAAGGAGTGGCAACCACCTCCACACAGGCTATGGCTCGTAAGCAGGACAAAGGTTTGGGTCCCCAGAGCTGTTGAAAACCAGCACCCCCAGCCCAAAGAAAACCGCTAACAACTCGCACCGGCTACGAAGCTTGGCAAAATGCCTTGAGCAAAAAACTTGAGCCAGGGGGGGGGTGAATTTTACGTCTGCACGCTGCGAGGCGTAGCCACCCGAAGGGGCTGTGGGTTCAAGTGAAACAAAAGCTTACTAAAACTGTGGGGTGAAACTGCCGGTAAGTTCCCCCTCTCATTCCTTGTCCTCGGTTTTGACGTACCGCTACCCTCAACCGAAGTGAGGCCGGAATGTCGTTTTGACCAAGTCGTTGCCATTGGCTTGAAGACTTTGGCCAAGGCAAATTGCCTGTATGCTTGCACATTCTCTGTGTTGTCTATTCGGGAGGTGATCCATGCCCTCGTTCGTGGAGGCCGCTATCCCTCAACCGAATGGAGGTCAATTCCTGTAGACCCAGATGCTCGTTCTACGAGTCTCATTGCATGTCCTGAGTGCTTCCATCCACACCCCTCAACCGTAGTGAGGCCGGACATGTCTTCAAACCAGGTCATGGCCCGAGGCTTCATGGACTCTGGTTACGGTGGCTGCCTCTTGCATGCACAGGGCATACTTCCTGTGGCTTTTGCCGGGAGGTGATCCATGCCCTCCGATTCTCAGAGGCCGCTATCCCTCTACCAGCGGGGTGGTCAATCCCCATAGACCGTTCCATATTGATTGAGGCCCAATTCTGCACTTTCTCGTCATCTCACCTTGACGGATCCATGCCCTCGATTCACACATCTCCAACACGAGCCAAGCAGGAGGAACAGGTGAAGTACCTGCCCAAACATACCCCTTTTTAGGCTGGAGGACGCTAAGCGACCGAAATCGCCGCTACGCACCGGTGACCCCACGCCACACACCTTCAACAGGTGGCCGGTACAGGCGCCTGACAGGGGGCCGGGCAAGGTGCCGACTACCAGGTCAAACCCACCCTGCCTGTGAGGATATTATGTACGAGGCCGCTATCCATTGTGAGACTTGACATTCTCCAATCCAGCCGTAGCCATTGTTCCAAAGACAGTCGGCTGGCTCTCTTGTTTGCCACCAAAACTCCATACTCTCACTTGGGAGTCGATTACCCTCAACCGAAGTGAGGCCCACTCTGCGACCACGGGTTAGCTGCATGCTTGGTCCTTGTGGGCATTTCTGAAAGCAGTGACAACGAATCCTCCACGGAGTACGTCCCGGCTAATCCAGGGTTCTCAGCAGCTCCGGTGTTCTCGCACTTACTAACCGTGCCTTGCTGTTCTCCCCAGAATCGCCCTGGCTTTCTCGCACTTACTTACCAGTCGACGTATTCCTCACCACAAAGTTCACTGCCATTGGGACTCGAGGCTTCTCCAGTGCAATGCTGGTACCTGCCCTTTGCTGGC